GGGGGTTTGGAGGGTAGGGGGGAGCATTGAGGATCCTGGCCTTTGGGCAGCAGAGAGAGTACATCCGGCCCTGTGCACACATACAGCATTAGCTATTACTTGGACATAGTATTGATCCATTTTCGTTTTTTCGTATGTTACACTTTTTGGATTTTGGCGGCAATGACGTCGTCATGACGTCACGGGCTGTTCTTTTGCACCTGGATTGATGTGTATTTATACCTGTATGCTCATCAATGTATTCCGTCACTGTGTCGCTCTGATGAAGCATCCCATGTGTGTGGACTGCGAAACGTTTAGCACCGTATGACATTATGTGACATCCTGCACTGAACTAACATATCCATGCAATATTAATATTTGATGTTCTTAAGTGTGTGCCGGTGAAATACTTGAGTATACCGCATGCCGTGACGTCATACTGCGCGCTGTGATGTCATACCGCATGCCGTGACGTCATACTGCGCGCCGTGATGTCATACCGCATGCCGTGACGTCATACTGCGCGCTGTGATGTCATACCGTATGCCCTGAGGTCATACTGCGAGCTGTGATGTCATGTGTCTTGTTGTCTGTGAAAACGATACAAATATCTACATTCCGTATTGCATAGAAAACATTTTGGAATGACTTTATATGAATACGGGGGACACTTGTAGAGGGACAAACATCAATGTGTGTCTTTTTTTCCCCCAGTGTTGACCATTCTCCCCCTTAATGTCTTTTATGGCTCAATAAACCATTTAACTCCCCATTTCCTTTTAATCACTGACTGATATCTGTAACATTTTTACCCCCTTTTTAAAAAAATGTTTTGCTTTTACAACATTCTTATTTAAAGTGGAGTTTTCACATCTCTGCTCCTCTATCTCCTCTCTGCCCTCATTGCGGTGAACGTTGTGCAGACATAGCGGTGACCACCAGGTGGCAGCGTACATCTGTCAAACCGCCGCCATTGTCACATCCATTCCGAGATGACGGAGAATTATTATAAAAGAAACAAAATTACTTTTTTATTTACTGAGATCTAAATCACCTATTATCATCTGTTTCCTGCTTCACCGGTGTCAAAAGTTGTATTATGTTACTTCATTCATTTATATTCTGTGGCTCTGACATACACCGCAGTGCTGTACAGAGAACACTGAGCCACTCACATCAGTCTCTGTACAGAGGAGCTTACACTCTAATGTCCCCCCATGTATCCGTCATGTATCTGTATCCTCGCAATGTTCTCAGCACAGATACAATGTGAGACATTTTTAAAAGTTCTCTCCGATAAAACGCGTTGTCATGAATCCTGAGGATGATGAGCAGACAATGCCGGAGCATAATAGGAGTTCTGATTGATTCCGTTTTATCACGCGGAGACGTGGCGGGCGTCACTCAGGTCTGACAGGTGGATATTTATAAATTATATTGTCAGTACCAGTATTGGTGTCAGTGGCAGTAGTAATAACCCAGAATGATCAGATTACAGACCATTATTAGTATCTGCTCATTGGAACGACATTGTATTTCAGATTTGGTGCTTCGGAAACGAGACCCTTCACCAAGCCAACTGGACCGTAGACCCAGAGACCCGGCGCCTGGAGATCGCCATGTTACCTGCCGGGGTCACCTACCAGATCCAAGTAGCCGCCATCTATGACGTCGGTGTTGGCAGGCCGAGCCAACCAAAATACATCTTCATAGGTGAGGAGGGGAATGATATGAGGACCTGGATTTCTCTTAGGTGGCCTCCATGTGTGGCCTCTGCGCTCCTCCTGGTGTATTAATCCGAAATATAAAAAGTTTTGGATTTCATTCTTCTGTCCCTCACAGATAACACAATGATTCCTCTGATGTGTTTAATAACGATATCGGGGAGGGTGCGAGTAGCCGTGTTTCCGTGTTTGCTGAAGATACTAAAATTGGGAGGGTAAGGCCTTGTTCACACCAAGAGCGGAGCAGATCCAGAGCAGATCCAGAGCAGAGCAGGTGCAGACCGGATCAAAACTGCGTCCAATGTATTCCTATGGTATTTTGAGCTCCAGTTCACATCGCATCGGGCGGATCCAGAGCAGGTGAAAAAACTGCGGCAAGCCCTATTTTACCTGCTCTGGATCTGCAAACGCATCAAAAACACATGCAAGTGCCTGAAAGCCCATGTTAAACTTAAAAAAAAAAAAAAACGGCCCGGAACGCATCAAAAACGCGACACAACCCACTGCACTGCGTGTGCAGAAACCTGACCGGATCTGCTCTGCATTTGGTGTGAACAAGGCCTAATACAGTAGACACGGACTTAGACACTATAACACTACAGGAGGACCTGGATAAAATAGGGGGAGGGGCAACTATATGTCAGATGAGGTTTAAAAAAACGGACCGGAACGCATCAAAAACGCGACACAACCCACTGCACTGCGTGTGCAGAAACCTGACCGGATCTGCTCTGCATTTGGTGTGAACAAGGCCTAATACAGTAGACACGGACTTAGACACTATAACACTACAGGAGGACCTGGATAAAATAGGGGGAGGGGCAACTATATGTCAGATGAGGTTTAAAGGAGAACTATGGGGTCAGTGTTTTTCCCCATAGTTCTCCTTAGGGTAACGGGAGGACACAAACTAGCGTCCTCCCGTTACCCTAAGCTCAGTAACTCCTTTAATGTCGAGAAATGTAAAGTAATGCATTTTGGGGTTACAAACAGGCAAGAAGAATACATATTAATGGGAACTCCACTAGGGAAGAAATGGAAAAAGATTTTGGGGTCATAGTAGACCACAGATTGAATAATAGTTTGCAGTGCCAGGCTGCGGCACACACAGCGAGCAGAGTTCTGTCTTGTAGTATAAAAGGAATGTACTGTAGGGACAAAGCAATAATTCTGCCACTTTATAGATCGCTGGTTTGGCCTCATCCTGAGTGTGCGGTTCAATTTTGGTCTCAGAAAGGATGTCTTGGAGCTGGAGAGAGTCCAGAGAAGGGCAACTAAACTAATTAAGGGATCTAGAGGACCAAAGCTATGAGACAAGGTTATTAAACTTAAGCTTGTTCATGCTGGAGGTGCGGAGATTAGGCGGGGACATGATTTTGATGTACAAAATGTTGGCTGGAGATGGTAACATCGGCAATAAACCTTTTATAGTAAACTCCATAACAAGGACTAGAGGCCGCCACCGAAAACAGGTGGAGAAAAGATTTCAGCACAAGGGGCGTAGGGGATTCCTTTCAGCGAGTCTGGAACTCGCTGGCACAAGCAGTGGTATCAGCTAAAAGTATTGAATCATTCAAACAGCATTTAGATACCTTCCTCAGAGACCGCGACATACAGGGGTACAGGTACTCTTAAAGGAGAACTATGGGGGTCAGGGCTTTTCCCCATAGTTCTCCTTAGGGTAACGGGAGGACACAAACTAGCGTCCTCCCGTCACCCTAAGCTTAGTATATAGGGAGCTACGGCTCGCGGTATACTGAGACGCCGCAGCTGAAGCGGATCCCGACAATTATGCCGGGATCCGCCCAGCTGCGTGAGTGACAGCTGGCTCTGCCTATCTAGAGGCAGAACCAGCTGTATCCGCCCCTCCCCCGTCCGTCAGTGCTGGAGGAGCGGAGCGGGGAGGGGGGAATCCAGCCCCTCCCCTGTCACGACAGAGAGCCGTGACAGGATCGAGAGGTGAGCGAACGCCGGTATGTGTTCGCTCACCTCCCGATCTACTGAGCCGACCTGCGACAGTCTCATTGTCACAGGTCGGCTAGAACTATGAGGTGAGTGGAAAGCCCCTCCCCCCCCCTCATAGTTCTCGTTTAAAAACAACACATACACACACACATGCACAATCACACACACACACAAAGGTTGGACTTAAGGGACCTGTGTCTCTATTTAACCTCAAATACTATGTAACTGTGTATTGAGCAAGTACAAGTCAAACCAAGTATGGGTGACCCTGCCACCGGTCCCCTGAAGGGCCTGGAGCTTCCTGACCACACTAGCCGTGGAAGCAGAGCAGTGGTACATTCTCACCAACAATTAAACATTTACCCCACCCACAGTCCACCTTTGGCCCGCCCAGTGACCGGGCATTCTTACCCAGATCCCACCCACTTACTGAAGTAGCCCACCTCCAATTAATCAGGCACTGCCCCCTCATTACCATAGTGAGTGCCTTCAGCCATTTTTCTTGATAATGGAGGACCCCCAGTTCTTCTACCTGCAACCCTGGAGATGGTTTCATTTGCAGTAATCCTTGTCCTGTTTTATCCTCAAACACTGCCGGCATTTTAAGCCCCGAAGAAGGGGGAGTTTTGAGCCCCCGAAACGCGTTGGTTTGCATTTTCTAGCCATGTACAATTAAAAAATCTCCTGGACTCACACTAGTGTCCCCATCCGTTCTACAGTTCTCAGACTGCTCTGGGGACACCTTGGTTGACATAGAGCTGACTCCCGAGTCTGGATTTAAACATTTGTTCCAGCGCTCTACTAGCTCATTTTTCTTTGGATGTTCTCTGGGCTGTAGAGCAGCAGGGACGGAATTTATCAAATCCATTCGGGCAGGTTTCACACCATTTTCCGGACCAGATCTGGTGTGAACCTGCCGCAGTTCCAGTGCGTTCCGGACCAGACAAAATGAGACACGCAGTATTTTTCTGCTCTGTTCTGGAACGGACTGCGCTGGTGTGAACAGAGGCCAGAAATACCATAGGGATACATTAGGATGCATTTTGGGTCTGGAAACAATCTGGTCTGGAGATGATCTGGACGTGGTGTGAATGGGCCCTTAGTCCCGGTGGTGTAGTCGGGTGACCTCGCAGGAGGGGGTGAGCAAGCCAGTCCCGCCGCATTTCATTTTTAATATCTCTGTCCTTGCAGATTCCCCTGAAGTGGAGGAAGAGACGGCGAGCGATCAGATTCCTCTGGATCTCATCCTGCAGGTTATAAAACATCCGGCTTTTATCGCCACAGTGGGCGGCACCGTGTGGATCATCCTAATGGTGGCCGTGGTTTACCTGTGTCAGCGTCACGCCAAGCCTTACAGCTCCAAGAAGCACAGCGGTGAGCGTTCATTGGCTACACTGTGATTTATAATGGGAGGAGTTATACATAATCCGCCCACTAGATGGTGCCAAAGAGCATTGGGAATTCCTGTGCTCCTCGGCGCCATCTAGTGGTACGAATGGCATTTGGCCAGAGGATGGCCGGGTGGATGATTGATAAATGGACCCCATGCGGGATTTTACCTTATGACCCGATTCCCATGTTTTACAGGTTTGTACCGGTTTGCAAGCGAGGACACTATCATCAAACACAGGTAAGTCCCGGGCCGTGTCTTCCATTCCTCAGACCTGACTATGACATACGCTTATGTTCTGCATTGGAATTACCTGTCTGGTCATGTGATGCAGCTGCACTTGGCATCCAATGGGGCGATCCTGTAATGATACAATGATCCATTTCTCTGACCCCGCGGATCCATCACAGGAAGTCACAGGAAGTCTGGGCCTTTAGGGGGTTCATTCATCCAATACTTGTCAGCGCCACCTAGGGGCGATAGTGCCGTGCAAATGGCATCCTCCCGGGGCGGAACTACATCAATGAACCCCTTTGTGTCAGCAGAGCTCAGTGCAGGGCTCCGGGAATACAGAGTCTGGGCACCAGGGGCCCCTGTACGGAGGTATGGGTTTTGCTGCAAGACTCTACCAGGGTGCGACCCCCCTCACCCACGCCCACCACATTTGCCCCTTTGGTATCAGCTGACTGACAGACATAGCATTGCAAAGGGAAATGCCACCATCTTGGATGTGATGTCAGACGTCCCAGCAGACCCAGAGCTCTCGCTCAAGGTTATGTAGGGAGGGGCGGAGGAGCTGGGCCAGCAGTAATAAGACGCTATTTTACTATATTTCCCTGTAAAGACTTCCCTAGTGTAGACACTCCAAAGCCCTGAGACTGCTGCTGGGTGCCGCCATCTTGGATCTGACATGGGCAGACCCAGCAGGCTCAGAGCTGTTACTCAAGGATGGTGTAGGGAGGAGCAGAGGAGCAGGGCCAGCACAGACAGTAACAAGATATGGTGTAACTATAGTTCCCAGTTAAAGGAGAACTATGAGGGGGAGGGGCTTTTCACTCACCTCATAGTTCTAGCCGACCTGTGACAATGAGACTGTCACAGGTCGGCTCAGTAGATCGGGAGGTGAGCGAACATATACCGGCGCTCGCTCACCTCTCGATCCTGTCACGGCTCTCTGCCGTGACAGGGGGAGGGGCTGGATTCCCCGCTCCGATCCACCAGCGCTGACTGGCGGAACGGATGGGGGAGGGGGCGGGTACAGCTGGCTCTGCCTCTAGATAGGCAGAGCCAGCTGTCACTCACGCGGCTGGGCGGATCCAGACGTCTAAGTCGGGATCCGCTTCAGCTGCGGCATCTCAGTATACCGCGAGCTGTAGCTCCCTATATACTGAGCCTAGGGTGACGGGAGGACGCTAGTTTGTGTCCTCCCGTTACCCTTAGGAGAACTATGGGGAAAAGACCTGACCGCATACTTCTCCTTTAAAAACCTCACTTGTGTGGAAACCCCAAAGCCCTGAGACTGCTGCTGGGTGCCGCCATCTTGGATCTGACATGGGCAGACCCAGCAGGCTCAGAGCTGTTACTCAAGGTTATGTAGGGAGGAGCAGAGGAGCAGGGCCAGCACAGTCAGTAATAAGACACTCCCAGAAAGAGGAGAGGGCAGTGATGTACAAGGAGGGAGGGGGCTGTGCTAGGGAATGGACTCAATCTTTCCAGCAAGTTCACATTGCAAGTGAATAAAAAATAATTTAAGGAAAGGGAAAATGCTGCAAACATTTTTTTAAGCTGGTGACAGGGTCTCTTTGACAGCTGACAGCTGCTGTCAGGTTCCCCCCCCCCCTCTGTGTCACTTCCTGTCCTGTAGTCTCAACAGGAAGTTAGAGGAAATCTCTCCAATGTAAATGGGAAATCCCCTCTTAGACAGCTGTCACCGGAACGCGTGTCCCCCATTGGAATATTTCCCTCTGTTCTGGTGACAACAAAACCTGAGCGGGGTTCTAACCCCTCCCCACCACTCTCCGGAGGAGCCATAGATTAGACGGGAAGAGGGAGAGAGGGGGCCGCTGCACCCTAACTAACCCTCCGATCCGTCTTGTACTGAGCGTATCCCAGTGTTCTGTCGTGAATGCTGACCCAGTCGAATTTGCCAACCTGACGAGCAAACAGCCATTTATTTACAAAGTATTTATTCCTAATTGTTCATTGTGACCGTTCATAAAATGGCGTCCATCATTGACGGCCATGGACGGCATATTATAAACGGTCCCAATTAACAATTAGAAATAAATACTTTGTAAATAAATGGCTGTCATCTCCTTCATCCCGGTGTGTGTGTGTGTGGACGCAAGGGCAGGCGGTCATGGCGGCAAATTCGACTGGGTCAGCATTCTCGACAGAAGACCGGCATGTGGAGATCAGACAATGAGATACTTTGAATAATAAGAGTTCTCTTCCAATCCTTAAGAGTCTGCGCAGGAAGTGAGAAGAGCCGGGTGTTCTATCGAAAGCTCCAACTCATCGAAATCTCCAACTACCTGACTTCCGGTGCTCTGAAAGACCGGAGCTCTGTACAGTTGCGGTTGCGCATGCGCGCGTAGCGTTGTCAGAATACTCGTCGAGTTTGCCAGCTGCTGAATATTGTTAGCTGCACAGAAGCGCCGTCAGTCTTTGTGTTTTGCAGTCTAACGCCGTCCTGGTCGAAATCTCCAACTTGCAAGTACCCGGCACTGAGGTGGTTGGAGATCTCGACGAGTTGGAGCTTTGGATAGAACGCCGGCTCTCCGTTGCATTGGCTTTGCATGCGTTGGGCATGGGGGTCGTATTTCAGGGGCGGCGTTGTGACGGCGCCATTTACCAGCCATCAAATATCCGTCCGTCTCAGCGATTCTTCACCTCAATAAGACTCATTTGCGTTTTGTCCTTCAGAAGCGGCAATAAATCGCGCCGGCGGGAGACGGAGTGCTGCGTATACTGTGCGACATTCTCCGCGGCCGCGCTTTACATCCAATATATCGTTTAATGCCGAAATAAAACATGACCTGACCCTCCGGGGAAGTCACAATGCCTCCCGATTCCTTCTACAAGATGAACTCCGGGCCAGGCAGAGAAGTGCATGGAGATACGGACATGGGACCTGATGAGATAGGCCCCCAACCCTACCAGACAGCGCAGCCAGGCAGGAGAGCAGCAATACAGCCTGGCCACTCCCCTAGCCTGGGATTGGACGATAAAGGAGCAGCAGGATCACTGGAAGAAGTCATCCCGCTGTTCACTCTGCTCTCTCCTGCTGTCAGTATGTTCCTTGAGGGCTCATACGTCTTGCAGTACACCTGATTGGCTCCCAGGCCTGTTCCTTTCCCTCACTCCAGTGGTGGCTGCATGCAGGGCCTTGCCTATGGGGGGATGATTGGGGTGGTTGCGCAGACAGGAAATGGTCACTGGTTCATCTGTCAGCCAGGAAGGGGAGAGAAAGTGCAGCAGATACCAGACTGCACTGTCGCCGCCCTGTCTGGTGTCCCGCCCACTCAGCCTTTGGCAACCGGTGACGTCAGTGAGCCTGGTGGGACGCCAGACAGAGCGTCACAGGTTGCTAAGAGCTCTTACAAACCTGGGATGCTATGGTGACCCCCCCCCCCAACCGCCTCAGGCTTCCTCTTTATAGGGATGGCCATGGCTGCATGGTATTTCCCAGGGCGGGTTTCCCCCGATGTGACCACAGTCTGGGGGGAAACCCAAACATGTCTGGGTAATGTGTGACAGGGTGACAACACAGGAGAACAATTGAGAGAAAGGGACAGAGCGTTGTCACCCTATAACAGGAAGTGGCTGATCTTATTTCAGGATCAACCATTTAAGAAAAAAAAAAAGACAGTCAGCTGACAATGACATCCGGGGGGCTCAGAAGATTGAAATGTACATAATCCATAGAAGAGGGCACGGGACTACAGCCTCTTGCCACCTGATTCTGTGCTGTGCCCATGGCACCCTGTCTGGGTGAGAATTTCCATAATGTGGACCACAAGGATAATCCTAAACCTTCATTATGGCCTTGTGCGTGGTCACAGCCACAGATATCACTGCAGAACAATCCTGGGGACCCCTCCAGGCTCCGCCTATAAATGAAATGATAGCTTTGGGGGGGGCAGTTAACCATTTGAATATTTTCTGTTTTCCAGGATGGACACCAGCGACTCGCCGTGGCTCTCAAACACGTGGAAATCGGCTTCGTGTTCGAGGAACTACAGCAGCACGACCAGCGTGAACAGCCAGTTACTGTGGATGGAGAGCAAAGACGCCTCCGACTTCCACAAATCCAGTAAGACCCGGAGAACGGCGCCGGCGGAAATCATTCCACATGCCGGACGCAGGGTTCGGATTCACAAAACAACTACCTGCCCGGCGCCCGGAACTGCATGTCCCAGGCATCGGGAGATAGGAATTCCCCCCCCCTGCTGCCCCTCTTCTCCCTGCTGCCCCTCTACTCCCTGCTGCCCCTCTTCTCCCTGCTGCCCCTCTTCTCCCTGCTGCCCCTCTTCTCCCTGCTGCCCCTCTACTCCCTGCTGCCCCTCTACTCCCTGCTGCCCCAAGGCCGGGCCTCAGTTGGCCTTGTGGGAAATCCGGCCCTGGCCGGACGTGTCATTCCGTTCTACAGTCGTGTGGTGACCCCGAGAAAGGAAACGATTCACCCCACGCAGATTGTAGCGGGAGAGAAAGAGAATCAGATACAATGTCATACTGGTCCCAGTCCTGAGACGCCCATCCACACCTGACATGTCCACCTGCTGAGCGGTCCTGCCCAGATCCTGCACACGTTCTGGGTGGTCCTGACCCTAAATATGCGGGAACCGCCCACTCGTGACCATCATCGCCTCCATTAATATCCTTTTATGAGTTGTAATGCAATTCATGCTTAGTAACTCAAATAAGGGCGATGCTGCGATCCTGGGGCAAAACCCAGTACACCGCATGGGGCACAGCACAGGACAGAACCTAAGACAGTGCCCAAGACACATCCCAGGACACAGCCCAGTACAAAGCCCGGAAACAGTACAGGAAACAGTACAGTACACAGTCCAAGGTACAGCCCATGACACAGTACAGGACACAGCTCGGGACACAGCCCAGTACAAAGCATGGGACACAGTACAGGACAGAACCTAAGACAGTGCCCAGGACACAGCCCAGTACAAAGCACGGAAACAGTACAGGACACAGCCCAAGGTACAGCCCAAGGTACAGCACATGACACAGCCTGGGACACAGCCTAGTACAAAGCATGGGACACAGTACAGGACACAGCCCAGGACACAACCTAGGACACAGTACAGGACACAGCCCAGGACACAGTACAGGACACAACCTAGGACACAGTACAGGACACAGCCCGGGACACAGTACAGGCCATAGCCTAGGACACAGCCCAGTACAAAGCATGGGACACAGTACAGGACACAGCCCGGGACACAGTACAGGACACAGCCCAGGACACAGCCCAGGACACAACCTAGGACACAGTACAGGACACAGTACAGGACACAACCTAGGACACAGTACAGGACACAGCCCAGGACACAGTACAGGACACAACCTAGGACACAGTACAGGACACAGCCTAGGACACAGCACAGGACACAGCCCAGGACACAGCCCAGGACACAACCTAGGACACAGTACAGGACACAGTACAGGACACAACCTAGGACACAGTACAGGACACAGCCCAGGACACAGTACAGGACAAAACCTAGGACACAGTACAGGGCACAGCCCAAGGCACAGTACAGGACACAGACCGGGACACAGTGCAGGACACAGCCTAGGACAAAGCCCAGGACACAGTACAGGACACAGCCCAGGACACAGCCCAAGGCACAAGCCAGGACACAGCCTAGGACAAAGACCAGGACACAGTACAGGACACAGCCCAGGACACAGCCCAAGGCACAAGCCAGGACACAGCCCAAGGCACAACCCAAGACACAGTCCAGGGCACAACCCAAGGCACACTCCAGGACGCAGCATGGGACACAGCCCGGGACACAACCTAGGGCACAGTCCAGGACACAACCCAAGGCACAGCCCAGGACACAGTACAAGACACAGGCCATGACACAGTATAGGACACAGCCCGGGACACAGTACAGGACACAGCCCAGGACACAACCCAAGGCACAGTCCAGGGCACAACCCAAGGCACAGTCCAGGGCACAACCCAGGACACAGTACAGGACACAGCCTGGGACACAACCTAGGACAAAGTCTGAGACACAACACAGGGCACGGCCCGGGACAGGACACAGCCCGGGACACAGCTTGGGACAGAGCATCATTGGGACAGATGACAGGAAGCCATCAGTCGCCCGCTCTGAGAGGCTGACCTATAATTGCAGGTTGTTCCATGGCTCGGCTCTGCTTATCGAGCTGCCGTTCCGAGTTCTAACTTTCCGTCTCCATATTAACAAGGACACGTCCCTCCGCAAGACATGGAAATCGCTGCTCCAGCTCATTCTCATTCATTTTCACCGTTTCTCTGCCAGCGTGTTAATTATCCTTCTTTTTCTTACCACCGGCCGCCTGCCTTGTTAATGCTTGCTCTGCAAAACCTTTAATTGATGTGACATTTCCTCAATGCGGACGTCACTCTTTGGAGTCATTCCAGAAGGTTTCCAGTGAGGTCCCGTTTCAGTGTTTGCGCAGTCACTGTGTAGAAGACGTTTCAGCGGTGTAAACTATGTCCCGGGGGGAGGCAGTTGGCTAATTTGTCATCTTGTATTATTATTAGTTTGTCATCCTATTATATTTTATATTAGTGCCGCCAGCGGTGTCTAAGAAGCTGGAGGAAGGAGCTTTGCTCAGATTTTGGGAATTCAGTGTTGAAGGCCAACTCCAGACAATTGTTTTTTTTAGCTTTCTATAGAGTAAGCATTAGAAATAGTCAAGTTTTAATTGATGAGGATAAATAAGGAGCCTATTGGCCCTGGCTACAGTCTGATTTACATAGAAAAAGTAGTCTGCCCATTCTAAATGATAGGGATGCACCGATATCGGTATTTTGGTACCGTGTACCGATAATTTTTTTCCGGTACTCGCCGACACCAATTACCGAGTACCGGAAGTCCCATTCGGGAAGCCAGGTGGCGTGTAATGACTCGCCACCCGGCTTCCCGATTAACAAGAAAGTCTGTCCCCTCTCACCTCGGCATGTCCAGCCTGTCACCCCCGGGGGCCTCTCCAGCCGGGAGCGGCCTTCCTCCGGTACCCAGCCGGAGCCGTCTTCCCGGCCAATCAGAATGCCGGGCGCTGCGTCATTACACGGCGCCCGGCTTCCTGATTGGCCAGCTTTACGACCAATCAGGAAGCCGGGCAGCGCTTCATGACACGCTGCCCGGCTTCCTGATTGGCCGGGAAGTCGGCTCCATGCTCTCTCGTCACTTGTGATGAGTGAGCATGAAGCAGCTTCCCGGCCAATCAGGGAAACCGCGTGTAATGACGCGCTGCCTGACTTCCTGATACAGGAATTATCGGGCTAGGCATCGGAGCATTTGGGAAAGTACGAGTACTCGGCCCAAATACTCGGTATCGGCACCGATATAGTATTGGTGCCGGTGCATCCCTACTAAATGATATGCAAATATCCATCTTTTAAACTTGGTCTCCTCGGTAAGACCACCAAGTGCCCAGAATGGACCTACAACTGCTACTCTATCACGTAGCTGACTGGAGACTCAGCTGAGAAGGGGGCTTCCCGTGCACCTCTCGTCCCACACCTCTGGAAGTAGTGACGGGATGTAAGAACAGAGTGGAGCACGAGTGCCGATACTGGTGGCTGGCCCATTCTTGAGGAGGCGCTTGAGTGTGTTGGACCAAGCTGGTGAATCGGCAGGACCGGGATGACACCGGGACCTCTTGAAACCAGAGCAGGCCATGGGTGTGAGGACCAACGGAGCACTGGCTGGATGTCGTTGCTCAGGGTACTGATGGAGCGATCCACCAAGTGGCAGAACAGGAGGGAAGTCAGGTGCAAGCCGAGGTCATACACAGGGAGCCGAATCTATGAGGTGCCCAATCACAGATCAGGAGCAGGGTCAGGAAACGTAAGCCAGGGTCATACACGGGAGATCAGAGGTACCGAATCAGGAGGAGGAGGCGGAGTCAAATGGTCACAAGCCGGGTTCATACACAGGACGTCAGGATACAAGGCACACAGGGAGTAGCTAAACACCACTCGGTCACGGCTTCATGTCCGGTTATATATGATAGTGTGCACGCTAATGAGCGGGCGCCTGTGCGCTCACGAGCGCGCTTCCATACGCTCATGTGTGTGCGCTGTTGCACATAAACGTTCCTGTACGCGTGCGTTTTTGTGCTAAAGCGCGTTTTCCAGGAACTTTAAGCAATGGATTGCATACATGTGTGCGTGCACGTTTCGGGGGCAGGGGTCCATCTGCAAGTAAGTCTCTTACATACTCTTATAATGATATCTGCACCTAGGTGAACTCTCTTTCCCAGCCCAATGGGTTAGGTACCAGGGAAACCAAAATAAGGGCAGATTAAACGTGAGCTTTTAAAGTTTGTCAGAAGGTCATTTTTATGTTTGGGATAGAGTAGGGAAGGGTTAGAACCCCTTTTTGGTGTTTCAGAAGTTTTGGCTTTACACTTGCGATGTTGAGCGTGTCATGACTTGTAGTTCTTCTACGACTGGTTTCTGTAAATCGGTTGACTCGCTCTCACGGTGATTTTATTTTTCCCTTTGCAGCCATTTCGTTTGAACGCAAAAGCGACACCAGCCGCAGCCAGATAATCCCACTGGTGCCCGACACCGGCAGCATGTATGGAGCTTTGTACGTGGATCTCCCTGGAAAGGAAATGACCACCTTCCAGTGCCCCCTGCCCACCAGACTGCCCGGAATGGGGATCAGGGTGAAATCGACCACGTCCCCTGGACTGCTCGACCACAGCCTATTCCCACGTTGTTCTAATCCTGGCAGTGCCAGCAACCTGACACATGGTGGATCCAGAAACAGGATCCCGCGCAAGCCCGTTCTCCCCGTACCACCCAGCGTGGCCCTAAAAGAACCCTGGAGCCAGAACTGCAAAAGAGGTAAATCTGCTGCCATGAGTGATGATTGCTTGGACTGGTGGCCAAAGGCTTTATATCAATTTTTCATGGATTACATCCAGGGCCGGATTTACTCCGTCTGCTGCCCCAAGGCCAGGTTCCTCAATGTGCCCCCTCCCCACAAACCCTCCCTTCCCCTAATGGAGAATGGCAACTATGGTGGGGGCAGCAGGGAGTACATTTAGCTCTGCTTGCCCGAAGCAGGGCTAAATGTAGAAAACAACTACCCGCCCGGCCCTCGGGACTGCATGTCCTGGCCGGTCGGGAGATATGAATTCCACACCCCTGCTGCCCCTCTACTCCCTGCTGCCCCAAGGCCGGCCCTTGGTTGGCCTTGTAGGAAATCCGGCCCTGATTACATGATGTCCCCTTATTTCTATCATGGACTCCATTGGTGAGATATCCCCACTAGAATTTCCATCTCCAACTAACGCAGACATTACAAGCCAAGTGGTGGTGGTCTTCAAGGGATTTTCCATGATATGGAATAAATAAACACAATAATGGGAATCCTGCTGCAGAAGATGATCACTTTGTTAAATCAGAACCTCAAAAAAAGGTCTTTTGGTGGGTCCAATAAGTCACTGGTTCTTCATCTTCTCCTCCAGGGATAGTGGTGGGGATCCTTACCCCTGCGCTGAATGGCACTGACATAATGACCAGTGAGCATTGCTCTGTGCAGTAGTTTTCTGAGCCCAGGCTAGCATGAGAAAATCAGTCCCCAGCACATCTTCATCCAATAACATCTTTATTGACGTTCTTACAACATGTCCAAAGAAAAAGGGACGTTTTGAGACCTCACAGGATCCCTCCATCAGGTTAGCATGACACACCCCCAGGGGCCTGGGCTCAGAAAAAGTGGGTTGAACAATAGACAGGTGCGATTCCAGTGGCGGAGCTAAGGAACAAAGGGCCATGGTGCAAGATTTTTTTTTGGGCCCCCCCCAATAAAAACCACAAACACAGCGTTCTCCTTCCGCAGGGCTCGGCCGGCTGTCACTTTCTCTCCTCAGCGCTGGGAGACGGAGCAGCGTCCACCGGGGGAAAAAGAAAGCACGGATGCACCGCTGTATCAGCAGAAAAATGGCACTTTCGGCATTATGCCAAAAGTGCCATTTTCGGCCAATATGTTTTGGCGGCCAATATATGGTGCAGCCCTAATATTTACAGCAATACAGAATGGCACAGGCTATAGAGGACTACACATCCCAGCAATACTTTATATAACAATAGCATTTCTGTATAAAGTACTGCTGAGATTTGTAGTCCTCAGCAGGCGATTGCTTGTAAGTCATACAGCAATCGCCTGCTGTTAAAAGCGGTACCAAGAGCAGCCATGTTCTTGTTTTACCCACTTCTGTGGGCCACCGTCTATAGACGTACTGCGGCCTGGAAGTGGTTAAAGTGACATTAAAGTAA